GTGGCACATTAAGATTGGCTATTCACTGTGTGTGCAGTCAGGTCTTTATGTGGAAAAACGACAGACTTGAGTCGGCACTGGGAAAGCAAAGATGATAATCAGGACTGAGCAGGAGAATAATCAGTAGCCTCTCTTGTACATTCGAGTCTTTGCTTCAGATCTATCACTGTATCTGAAGCACAGTGTTGTATGTCGCGTCTCTTACTCACCTACTCACGGCTCAAGGTTCACGAGAGCGACGCAGATATAAATAAAGGTCTCGAGCATGTACGACAGAAAGGGAGCGAAGGGAAAATGGAGACGGAAAGGCAGAGGAAAGGCCAGGGACCGAGTACTCGTGCTCCGCTGCGTACTCATTGCAGAGACCTGAGTTCCGTTGTGTTTTGCATTTGCTGCATGTCTCTCCCTCGGTCTCTCTCTTTATGTTATTGCCATTCAACCATCACCTTGTAGTAAAAACAAAAAGCCACAAATAAGTCACAAAAGAAAAGTTGTCATTGAATTCTGTCACACTGATAATTCACATTAGTAAGTAAACTGAAGCACAGATGGAAAGCCCAAGGTGGCATAGCAGGTAGTGAAATGAAAAGGCACTTTAGCTGCTACTGGAAAACAAATAACAAAGGAGGGAGGGAAAAATACACAAAGCTATAAGAAGATGAAAGCTAGAAAATAATGAGGAAGCAAACTGGAAGGATGGACGGGAAAAAGGTGGAAGGCAGGTTGGAAAAGGAAGACTTTGAAGAAGCTTGAAAGAACAAAGGTTAACGACATGAAAAGCACAAAGACTGTGAAAAGGTCTTTGTTGAAAAAGTTTTAATATTATTTTAAACAATGTAGCCTTAAATGAATTTAAAAAACTAAACTATGAGTTTGCTAATGCAAAAGTTTTGAATGTGCACGGTAATGAGTGCACGATATTTTGGGGGGTTTTATGTTGAGAGAAATTTTGCAGCCGCTGATTAAGTTGTTATTTTTTGATGCATCTCCGTATCTCGTTTTTATCTTTCCCCATCTATACAGGCTCCTCGGTTTGTGCAACA